TTCGGTTTATAAATAGAAATTTTAAATTATTTTCTTATTTTAAAACTAGATATATTTAATATTTATAAGTATATAAATTTGGATATTTATTCAGTTCTTGATTTGGTTCTGATTCGGTTCTGGTATGGTTATATTTCTTTGGTTCTAGAGATTTAGAATAGTTCGAATAACTGGTAGGATCTAAACCCGAACTAAACCTCTTTTTCGTTCAGTTTAATTTTTTGGTTTCAGATAAATGTGCCCTTGCCTAGTTTTACTATTGAATATGAAATTCATATGTCTATGTGTTTTTACACAGCACGGTCTCCAATGCTTCTTAATCATGCTAAATCATAATTTTAACAGTGCAAAACAATATGTACAACCGAGCTTTGCTCGACAATTTTATGATCTCTGGGTATTTTTCTTAAGATGTTTTTCTGGTTGAATTAACGACACTTTCTAAAGGGATGTCCCATCAATGAATTATCTTAGCAGATTAAAGAAACATGGGGAACCTGGTTTGTATAATTCCTAACGCTCTAGCTCAAAAAGCATAAACAAACAAGTGGAAATATGATTATAAAGAGGAGTGTAAACAGGCTGGTTCCTTTATAGCATCTCCCAATATTTCTTCACAACTTGAATATGTTGCTTAGTTATATGTATCACGAATCTCTAAGAATTTATTTCGTTAAAATCATGAACATATTGCCTAACTAAACGAGAGGGTTCTAAGAAGCTATGTCAGTAAATTTAAAACAGCTAAAGCTTTGATGGAGAGGGCAAACCAGAATTAATGAATAGTTGCTAGGGTCATAAAACATTAAAAAGCCAATGATAAAAGAGAAAAAAAAAAAAAAAAAAGCAAAACACAGATGAGTAATTGTCCATGCAAAATATACTCATGTAACTAATGATTAATCACATTCTTTCCATTGGTTGGTTGATTTGTAAGTTGCACCAAGCTTGGAAGATATGAAGAGCACACCAGTGTCCCACAATATTTTTCAAAAGGATAAAAAGTGGTAACGGGATAGGGAGCTTCTCGGGTTGTCATAGATTTGAAGTATCCATCTTGTCCGATGACGTAAGCAAATTGGTACCGACAGGAATAGCCCCTTTCTAGAACGAAAACTACGGCAAGCTTCTTCTCCTCGTCAATGAAAAAACTCACATAATCAGGGCGAGCACATAAATCCACTTTCAAAAACTTTGTCCAAGACACAACATCAGGACCAATCTTATCCGTAACACTAATCTCGATTGTCTCTTCTGTTTGACACAACGCAGCGAGCTGGTCTTCTCTAACACATGATAGAGACGTGATTGCTCCTACGTGGTATGACTGAAACGATAGAGGCAGAAGCGGTCCGAACCTCTCTGTTGTGAAATCAAAACAGTAGAAGAAACCTCCAAAACTTTGAGCAGTAAAATAAGCGTTTCCTTTTAAAGAGACGCTGATTACTTGAGACCATATCTGCCAGTTGGGAGCGACAACATCAAGAAACTTCCAAGAACCCGAGCTAAGACAGTAAACTTCGAACCCTAATACGTGCATACTTGTAACTGGATCAATCTCAACGAATATCCTCAGGATCTTGTGGTTAAGGTTGTTGTTGTCGTATCCGATAGCAAACCTGTCTGAACTCTGGAAACTGTTTCTTGGTTCAATCCACCTCGTTTGACCTAAATAAGGATTCCATACCAAGAGCCTGGAGAAATCCTTAAGGACGCATAGCAACAAACCATCACAGTGAAACGCATATGAGATCTGGATTTGATCCAGTAAGTTTACTTGTATCATAGATGGAGGGTCTTTGCAGAGATCGAATTTCACTAAACAAATCCTCGAGTCCATTATCATGAAGTGCTTCTTTGCTTCTTCTCCTTTACCCAAAAATATTCGGGTTTTACATAGAGCGTTCCACTTTCTGCAGGTTGATCGCACTGATCTCAGAGATGTCATCGGCACCCTAGAAAGTATCTCATCTTCTACCAAATCCTCTGGAAGGTCGTGAATTGTTGTCATCATTCCAAGCTTCAATTAGGATTTTTTTTTCTCTGGCTCTGCTCTGCCTTGGTGATAAAGTTAACTTGGCCACCGTGTTTTCTCCTAATGGGCTTATAATGGCCCAAACTTTAAATTAGATTTAATACGTTTTAGAGATGCCTTTAATCATGTGAAAGCCTGTTCAATCTGGTGTTGGGTCCAGTTTCGATTCGTTTTTTTCGGTTTTTTATTATTCGGTTTATAAAAATTAGCTACTATATTGGAATCATATTTAATTTGGTTTAGTTCGGTATTTATACTACCGGTTCTCGGTTTATTCGGTTTTATACTAAATAACATTATTGTTTGATTTAGTTTCATATTATATAATTTTTTTTTAAAAAAAAAATACTGTCAAAACTATCATTTACTAAAATATTCTAGGTGTTCATAAATATAAAAATGTGAAATTAACAACAAACAAAACGATTAACGATTCAGTTTGATACAATTTTTCTTATTTTCTCTTTGTTCTTCCGAATAAATTTCATGGTACAATCTAATTTCATAATTTCCTACAACATGCAAAATCAAATCAAATTTAAATAATAGTAGAAGAAAATAAAATAAAATTATTAAGATATATCTTCACAAGGAATAAAAAAGTAAAAAAAAAAAAAAAAACTATTCGTTAGGGGTAATAAGAAGCTATTTCAGTAACTTTAAAGCAGATAAAGCTTGATGGGGAGTGCAAACCACAAATAAATAATTGCTAGGGTCATAAAACATTCAAAAGCCAATGACTGAAACCAAAACACAAATTAATAATTGTCCTAAACAAGATGGTGCAATGTATAAACATAACTAATGAACAATCACATTCGCTATATTAGCTCGGTTGTTTGCTTGGTTTATAGTTGCACTAAGCTTGGAAGATATGAAGAGTACACCACTGGGGCAAAACATATCTTGTTCGACGAAGAAGTTTCAAGCTCGTGAGCTTGTCGGATTCTCACATATTTGAAGTGTCCATCTTGTCCCAAGACATGAGCAGTTCGGTACCAACACTCGTTGTTGGCCCCTTCTTCTAGAACGAAAAAAACCACAGCAATTTTCTTCTCCTCGTCAAGGAGAAAATTCCCAATGGAAGGGTAAAGCGAATAGTTAAAGTTTACTTTCAAAAACTTGGTCCAAGAGACAGCATCAGGACCAATCTTATCCGTAACACTAATTTCGATCGTCGTCTCATGTGCCTGCCAGTGTTGATACAACACAGCGAGCTGCTTCTCTTGACTAACACAAGAGAAAGATGTGTAATGTAACCCATAGTAAGAAGCAAATGCTGGCAGAGGCAGAAGCGGTCCAAACCTCTCTGTTGTGAAATCAAAACAGACGAAGAAACCAACATGACTCGTATGCAAATAAGCGTTTCCCTTCAAAGACACGCTCTGTCGAGCACAATTTATCTTCCAGTCTTGAGTGACGACATCAAGAACCTTCCAAGAACTCGAGCTAAAATCATACAGTTCGAACCCTAAAGCTCTAGGCTCATCGGAGATCCTCAGGATCTTGTGGTTATTGTCGTCGTGTCCGAGAGCAAACATGTCTGAACTTTGGAAACTGTTTCTAGGTTCGATCCACCTCGTTTTCCCTAAGTAAGGATTCCATACCAAGAGCCTAGAGCTGTCCTCAAGGAGGCATACCAACAAGCCATCACACTGTAACACATTAGAGATCTGGGTTTGATCAAGTACACTTACTTTTTTCATACATGGGTCGCGATCCTCTTTGCCGAGATCGAAGTTCATCAAACAAATCCTCCTCGAGTCAATCATCAAGAACTGCTTCTTTGCTTCTTCTCCTTTACCCAAAAATATTCGAGTTTTACATAGAGCGTTCCACTTTCTGCAGGTAGATCGCACTGATCTCAAAGATGTCATCGGCACCCTAGAAAGTATCTCATCTTCTACCAAATCCTCTGGAAGGTCGCAAATTGTCGTCATTGTTCAAAGCTTTTATTAGGGTTTTACTTTCTCTGCTGTGTCTTGGTGATAAAGTCAGATTGACCACAGTTTTTCTCGTAATAGGCCTATGATGGCCCAAATTGTAAATTAGATTTAATAATGTCTATTATGTATTTAGTTGTAACGATATATTTTTGTAATAATTTCTTTTTTAATGAAAACCGGTCTCGAAGGCCTCTCTCTTCATTCTAAAATCATACTTTAGCGATGCAACCGAGCTTTCAACGGCCCAATCCTCACGCATTCTACTTTTCGTCCTCTTCGTAGTAGACTTAAAGGTGAAACATTATATGCAAAACCTATAGTATATAGATCATAAGATCGAGTAATGGTTGAGGCGAAACTAATGTCGTGGGTATCAGGGTATGGCTACAATTAACCCATAATTTCATACTATTTAAAAAGAGTATATAAAGATGTTGAAATTGTTCGCAAGCGTCTTACTGACTCTCCTTCTTTGGTAGCTGATTCTTTCACCATTCACACACGTCTTCTCTGTTGTATTACGGTGTGCCGTTTTAATTGTAGACAGCTCTCCTTGTGAAAAAGGCTAATCCTCTCAATATGTTTTTATCAGACTAAACGAAGTACCGCGCCACATATATAGGATTTATATCAACATCCAGTTAGATATAAATTCATCGCACAACTCAAGAGTTATTTGATGCAGCGACCGACCATCAATGCTTGCTTACGTCTTAAGTCACAACCATGAAACACTGAAGATCCATGCATGAAAGGTCCACGTGTCATGCTACATCCCAAGAGGATAAATGATCTATACGTGTCACACGAAAAAGGCTACTTGGAAGGCAAGAAGAAAAAGAAGTTAAAGAAGCAAATAACGTGGCAGCTCTTGCGTCTGCCTATCTACCACGTGGAGTCTCCACATAAACAGTTAAGTTACTATAATAAGCAACAAAAGCACCTCTACTAATAACACAAGTCAAAAATATTCACAAAACACTTGAAAACTTTTCACAAATCCGTAGAGAAGCAAGGCAATGGCATCGGAGAAGCAACGAAAGACGGAGAGAGCAGAGGTAGCAGCAAGACTCGCTGCTGAAGACTTGCATGACATAAACAAACACCGTGACGATGACGTCACGTTATACAAGGTAACGGAGAGAACAGTCGAACATCCACCGGAGCAAGAGAGACCAGGAGTGATAGGATCGGTGTTCAGAGCTGTGCAAGGAACATACGAGCACGCGAGAGACGCTGTTGTCGGAAAAAGCCACGATGCTGCCGTGGCGACCAGTGAAGGAGCTAAGATGGCTTCAGAGAAAGCGGCTGGAGCCAAAGACGCAACTCTTGATAAGGCTAAAGAGACGGCTGACTACACGGCTGAGAAGGCTAGAGAGGCTAAGGATAAGACGGCAGAGAAGATGGGAGAATACAAAGACTATACTGTTGATAAGGCGGTGGAAGCGAAGGATAAGACGGCAGAGAAGGCGAAGGAGACGGCGAACTATACGGCGGTTAAGGCTAAAGAGGCGAAGGACAAGACTGCTCAGAAAGTGGGTGAGTATAAGGATTACACGGTGGACAAGGCTGTGGAAGCTAAGGATTACACGGCGGAGAAGGCTGTTGAAGCGAAAGATAGGACGGGAGAGTATAAGGACTACACGGTGGAGAAGGCGGTGGAAGGGAAAGATGCTGGTGTGAGTAAGCTTGGTGAGTTGAAGGATAGTGCTATTGATACGGCTAAGAGAGCTATGGGTTTCTTGTCGGGAAAGACAGAAGAAACCAAACAAAAAGCTGTTGAGACCAAAGATAGTGCCAAGGTAATATTCTTTGAATCATTATTATTTGACTAGACATGATGTCAAATGTTTGATGTTTTTTGGTTGATAATATAGGAGAAAATGGAGGAGATGAGACAAGAAGGTAAAGAACTCAAAGACCAAGCTGGAGAGGAAGCTCGTGTGGCATCTCAAAAGACAAGGGAGAGTACTGATTCTGCAGCTGAAAGAGCACACGAGACGAAAGATTCTGCTGCGGTTAGGTAAAAATATTAAAAGTAACGTTTATTGAAGTTTGATTTATTATGGGGGCATTTTTGATGTTTGTTATAAATGATATGTATATGTAGGGGTAATGAAGGGAAAGGGACAATATTTGGTGCACTAGGGAATGTGACGGATGCTATAAAGAGCAAGCTGACAATGCCATCGGACATTGTGGAGGAGACACGTGCGGCACGTGAGCATGGAGGGACGGGGAGGACGGTGGTTGAAGTCAAAGTTGAAGATATCAAACCTGGTAAGGTGGCGACTTCTCTGGATGACGTTGGACGTATGGATGAGGCTGCTCGGAAAGAGAAGGGAAAGCTCTAAGAGAGACCGTTTGTTTCGGATGGATCTGTTGTTACATTTGACGTTTTTTGGATATTTTCCTCTTTGTTGTTGTTGTTGTGTTCTTGCTTTTAGAACAGACAAATCTTATGTTTATGCAACTTTGTTAAGACTTGTTTTAAAGGATTGGCTCCTATGCTAAACAACTCTTCTCAACGTTTCCTCGCTGCAAGCTTTTTCACCATGTTTGCTTCTACTTATTGCTCGAACCATTCTCTCTTATCATCGATTTCAGTTGTAAAAGAAACTGTTAATAAGGTGAAAAGGAACTCTTAAGTAAATGTCACTCGAATGGACTAACTTTATGCTAATCAATGAGATTATTGAATACATCTTCTTGTATCAACTTCTTTTCTCTAGAGGTAGCTCTTGCCTGTTGTGGAACCAAAACTACAACCGTTTAAAATGTGAGAGATGCCAAAAAGATTGACACGCCCGGTGGGACTCGAACCCACAATCGTTTGATTAGAAGTCAAACGCCTTATCCATTAGGCCACGAGCGCTTTTGTTGTTAAATCTACTGTCCATATAAATTGTGATATTATATTTTTAACTAAATTTAGTAGAACGTTATATATTTAAATAAATAGTAATTGTAAAAGTGATTTCAAATGTAAATGTTTCTATAAAAACTGTGAAGATACAAGCTTACAATCGAAATAGCATACATTGGAAACAACAATCATATGAGTAACAGATAAAGAAACCTAAAAATGGTGAAAGAGATGAAGCTTATCCAACTCTTCTTCAGTTCTTCTATTACCTCCACCGTGTTGGACTGTACTAACACAGTAGCAAGCAACGCACAACACAAACACACAAAAATAGAGAAAGAGTGAAAATGGAAGCTACGACTCTTTCCATGGCAACCACAGCCCTTTGCTTACCATTTCGCTTATTCAGTACTCAGAACCTCAACTGGAGTGGCTGTCTTCGCTCCTCCTCCTCCTGTAGTGATTGAGCAGACCAAATTCTATGTGGTATTATCAATCAAGTGGTTAGGGTTTTGAGTTTCTTGCGGTTGAAGGAACTGAAAGAGCTCATCGATGAGCTTCCGAAGTTGTTCAAGGTTTGTGTGACGAAAGATGAGCAGTGGAATACAAGACACTGCTCGAAGAAGCTGGCGCCAAAGTATCTATAAATAAGCATGTTTAACTTCCTATCCATTGCTTAATAAGTTTTAACAATCGGAGTTTCTTTAATATATTTTTCAAGTGTTAATTATATGATTAGTTTTTGCGATTTCTTATTTGATTCAGCTTTCCGAATTTTATTAAATTTGAATCCTTTTGGTTTTGTCCATTTTGCTTCCGGCGATGTTGACGTGAAAAAAGAAAAAAGAAACATGATTCTGCTGATTTAATATGTCTTCTATGGTTATAGGATGATATTTTACCAAGATAATAATACTTACTTAAATTGAGATTTAAAGCTCAAAGAAGAGACTACATTGAAAGCAGATGACCAGATCCCAACTTCAAATTTCTCAAAAATAAACTTGATAAAATATTCAGCAAATAGCCTCTCACGCATAACTAAACACAAACAGACCAAACCCATTCAGGCTCGTTATAGATTGAATTTGGAAATAAATTGAATTAATATTGGAAAAGTTATCTACATTTGACCCACAACAAACATCCAGGATTGGTTCTTAGGAGTTTTTACGGATATTTTTCTCATGAACTCTATGAAGAAGTATACCACTCATACTTATGTTAATTCTTATGTTTCTTAGGTCACAAACTATGTTTATCTAGAATCGAACTAAGTTTTGCTAAACCCGAAATATAGTGATTATGTATATTCAGTATTCATTTCAAGTAGGTGGTGAGTTAGCTTCACGAGGTCAAAGGGCATCCAAATGGTGATTTTTTTTTGAGAAATAAAGAATTGTTCTAATAAAAGAATCAAAAATGTTTTAACCCTATTATTCTTAATCAAAGTTATTGATAGGAATATAACAAACGAAAACAAAGGTTCAGATTTATTATCAGAAAATTGTTTTATAGAATCTGTGTTCAATAGTAAGCTACAGAAAAACATTATTGAAAATACTAAACTTCAAGAAAATCATGCTAAATTGGAGACAATCTTTGAGATCTTGCAGTAGAAGGACCAGTCAGGATGAGAGGAATCAATCTTAGGTTGTCCGAAAGAGTTATCTTTAATATAAGCTTGCACATCCGATGTATTTGCTAGATCATCCAAGTACGAGCAAAACTCCCCTTCTGGATCTACAGAATCAAATTACATAAACCAATCACAACCTAAAAGGAGGTGTGGTAAAGATAAGAAAAAAAAAATGTTCATAATAGGTTTCATACCAAGAAAATCATCCTTTTTGTCTTTAGGATCATAAGTCACTGGAAACACTCCAGTATTGTCCTGCATGAACAGCAGGATAAATCAAAGTTAGGAGCAACACCTAAAATGATATATATATATAATTATTAAAGAGGCTTAAGATTATTTTACCGGATTAAGGAGAGCTTTGTATGGCTCTTGGTCAATGAGAAAAGTGTTTGAAGCAGAGAACTCTTTGAAACTATGGAACACTTTAGAAATATCCTTTAAGAACATTGGCTTATCACTGTTCACTAGTGTCCTGAATCCACTATTAGTACTCTGTTTTTGATCCTATAGTTAATGAAGAGCATAAGAGAGTGTATTCATATTAAGAATATAAATTTATCGATGTATAAAGAGTCTTACCCACACAAAAGAAGCTTATTTTTCAGATCTTTAAGAACAATGTTGAGAATTATATCAACGTTACTCCTACCAGTTTCCAACCAAAAGAAAATAAAATCACGCAAGATAAGATTAAAAATACTAGGTAATAGTAAATTCAGTACTAATAAAATTGAGAAATGAAAAGACTAATTCGTTAGCAGGTGACCATATCCCAACTTGGAATCTCTCAAGGCAAAACTTCATGAACTCTCCAGCAAATGGCCTCTTATACACTATTAACCAACAAATATATATTGAAAAAAAAACATATAACATATGTAATTTGTAACAGAACAGCAATGAAATGTTATGTTACCAAGATTTGGCCCACATGTTGCATCTGGAGATTGGTTCTCTGGCTTTCTACGCAAGTTTTGCACGGTGTAGAAGTAAACCATTTGGACTCAAGATCAAGAGTTTCTTCTTCTCTTTTTTTGAGTCCTAAGCTAAGTTTATTTAGAATCGAACTTATGACTGATCTGAATCTTTGTCACTTGTGTACTCATATTCATCACTGTCCTCCGCGAGGATTAAACTCTTCTTAATTTTTTCTTCTGCCATTGTTACTGTTATTATGAACGAACACCAAAACTAGGATTTATAGGCATTGAGCGTTAAGTCATTTAAGTTGGTGGCGATTTAGCTTCTCGAGATCAATGACCATTTTTTGGCGTTTCTCTTCATGCACTTCTTTGGTTTTACATTAGTAAATTTGACTTGGAACTACTAATTAGAGGATCCCACCTGTTTAGCAAGAATCAAAAGCACATTATCTGTTTTTGTTAACTAATCTGCTTGTAACATGAGCAGCTTTTGCGTATCGAGGAGGAGTTTGGATCAGAGGCAGTGTACGCCAGAGCTAACTTCCGCAAACCTGTGGAGCCATACTAGACACGTGCAGCTTTTTAGAAGCGAAGTGCTCTCTTTGTGACGAGAAGAAGATCCGAGTTCTGTTTGTCATTTTGCTTTAATAAAACATCACGTTTGCTTCTTTTATAATCTAATTTCGGCTTTACTCATAACTTCTCGTGTAAATCGTATGATCTCCAGTGACGACAAAGAGGGCTTTACTGTTTGCATTTGATGTACGTTTTCAAACCATGACATGACTAGAAGAACTTAAAGACACTCATACCAAATTGGATTAACTTAAATCGTTTGTCATTCGAGTTTTATTATCGTTTAAGTCTTTCACTTAAACGTTGAAATAACTAAGCAACTGATGAATGACTGATTCTTGAGTCTTGGCAGTGGGATTACATTACAATTGTTATCTATAAGACCATATACAATGAGGGTGTTGAAAACCCCTTTCAACTGTTGAAACATTTACAATGAGGGTGTTGATAAATTTAGTTTATCTATGTGGCATAAACACCCGTTGCAAAATTTCAACATGTTGAAACTTTTTCTTTGTGCCCCACAGCTGCCACATGTCGTTTCTTGATTGACTATACATATTTCTTTTGTTTTTTTTTTCACCCAATAATTCAAACGTATTTTTTATATAATAAAACTTTTTTAAAAAATATAAAAATTATATCAAAAGTCAAGATTTTTCTTTATCTATTAATAGAGACTACTTTCATTTCATTTGGATACCGAAAACAAAACGTAATTTTTAGTATAATAATTTAAAACAAATATTATTAAAATTTAACTTTTAGTTTTTAATGATATTAATATTACTTAAAAATAAACTTAATATAATAATTTAAAATAAATATTATTAAATTTTATGTTATTTTAGTTTTAAGTTAAGTATTAATATTTAATTATTATGTTGTAAAAAATAAGAATTAAAAGTTGTGGGTAGGGTGTTGGAATTTTTAAAACAAACCATTGTAGATGTTTAAAATGAAGTGGGTGTTGAATAAATTATGTGGAAGAGAGAGAAGATGATGTGTAATGAAAATAAGGATGTTGAAAGTAGAGAGGGTGTTGAAACCATTGTTCATGGTCTAACAGGCATATATACATTCTTCATCAACAAGCAGGTTTGCCCGAGTGGTTAAGGGGGAAGACTTAAGTTCTTCTGCACATAAGTGCGCGTGGGTTCGAACCCCACAGCCTGCATTTTTACTTTCTGTAATCATTGTTTTATTACGACAATAATAGATATATCATTCATTACACAGGAACTAGTTTTACAATGTTAATCGAAAAAGACAAATACCACAATTTCGATTTAAATCATGTAATACATCATTTCTTGGAACGTTTCAAGTAAACAAGAAAACCTAAGCTCGTCAAGACAATAGCCCCAGCCACAATACCAGCCTGCCACCAAACCCAACCACAACCTCCTTCACCACAACTCCCCTCAGACAAATCTCCACTTCTCTGATCAACACTCACTACCTCAGCAAATTCCACATGCAGCCTCAAAGCCTTTAGTCCCAAAGACCTAGCAAACCCAACAGCAGCAACAACATCACTGTCCCTACTAATCAAAATCTTGTCACCTTCATCATCCTCGTACATTATCTGAACCTCTACATCACCAACATCACATCTTTGCACCACACCATTCATCACCTCCTCAAAACTCTCCCCCGTTGACTCAAACCTATGCACTCTCCCTTTACCATCTTCAAACTTGAACGCAAACAAGCTCACACTTCCACAAGACTGTAACTTCCCTGTGTCCCCTCCTCCTCCCTCTGAGTTCAACAACATCGTAGACGACAAATCACTGTGCGTCTCGTAATCCTCAGGTGGATGTGGGTCCAACGTGAGAGCCGAGTCCCAAAACTTTTGCATCATTGTGTTCGCCATGTCGTTAACAGCTCCTGGAGTGCTCTCAACAGTTGAGATAGCCGCGTGAGTAATCTGCAAAACGTCAACACACGCTACTACGTAACCTTCTTTGTCTAAAACCGGAAGGTGTAGAAATTTCCTCTCATGCATGACATGCAACGCGTCGATTATTGTTGTCTCCATTGTTACAATTTCAGGGTTTGGTGTCATTACTTTCTCAACAAGGGTCAGCTCAGGGGAGAGATTCTGTGCTACTACTCTCATCAAAATGTCTCTTGACGTTATAATTCCTTGGATCTTGTTTCCAAGAGCTATGATCACTGATGTAACACGTAGGTCACGCATTTTTTTGGACGCTACGAAGACAGGATCTGAGGGAGAGACTAGTGCAACTTTTGAATGTTCTGTAATGATTGTTGACAAAGCAGGCTTGAACATACGGTCTCTTAACGTTTCAACGAAAGGATACGGAGCAGAGTTGTTACTTCCGTATTGACGTTCAACGTCTTCCACAGCAGCAGCGGCTAACACACTTCCTTGCTCCGCTGCTTTCTCCATGCGTGAGATTGCATCGTAGAGACATTTTGTTATGTCTAAAAGAGCAGTGACTTCACCGTTTTCCACAACTGGTAAGTGTCTGAATTTTCCTTGGACCATCTTCTCAAGAGCCTCTATGGCGAGGGATTCCGATGTGACGAAGATAGGGTTTCTTGTCATGACTTTGGAGACAAGAGTGTGTTCTGGTCTTAACCCTTCTGCGATCACTCTCGTTGCTATGTCCTTGTCGGTCACAATGCCTGAAAGAAGAGCGCTTGAGTCTGTTAGAAGGACTGCGTCTACTTTTTTACGAGCCATTCTTCGACATGCGTCGAAGACGGTGGTTCCCTCGGAGATGGTGATGGCTTTGGATAAACGTAGCGTCTTGACTGTTCTTTCGGTGTTGGAGGAAACCGGTTCAGGGAGAGGTGAACCGGGTTTGGGAGAGGGGTCCTCATTCATGCTACTGCTTCCACTTTCTTGGGGTTGGAGAACTGGTTTCTTGGAAGATGATGATCCTCTCCTTGTGCTTCTCCTCCCAGATGAAGTCATGTTTAGAAATATATATTGTAAAGATGGTCTTTTTAATCACTCATCAATCTACAAAACCATACAAGAATTAACATTACAAAAACGTTGCAAGAATATGAATAACATGAATCAAAACCATTTTTAACAATTTGGATTACATTTTCAATGACAAAGAGAAATTAAAACAACAAAGAAATGTATATAAAACAAAAAAAAAAAACAAAAACAAAGAAATGTATATATGTCTGTTCTTACATACCATTCAGACCAATGGATTAACGATGAAATCCAACAATAAAAACCAGATGATGAGGACGAAGATTATGAAAAGATTTTTGCTGTGGGTGTAATGGATATTGGGTAGGGTTGGTGTTCTTTCCAAATCAAACGGTGGAGTCAAGTTTCGTCTTCTATGAGCAAAACCATATTAACAGATTACAAAATTTATATGTTTGATCTTGAGAGAATCCATAGAGGCGTTGAATACCAGAAATAAGATATTTGTTATCTGTTTTTCTTTTCCTTTTTAGCTATTTTCTATTTTCCTTAACAACTCATCCTCAAAGAAAGAAAGAGAGAAGAAGATGAAGACCATAATTCTGTTATTGTTGTTAATCTAGCTATGTTAACACATGTTGGGTGTACTAATTGGTGAAAATAGTAGATACTTAATTTTGGTTAACTTTGTTTGTATGATTCAGTATTAATTTTGGTTAACTTTGTTGGTATGATTCAGTACAACGATTTTAAAGGATAACATTATGAGTTGAAAGAAAATAGATAAATTTTGTGAAAATAGACCATATATAGCTTTTTAAACCAAAAAAAAAATCGGGATTTATGGAAAAATAATAATTAACCAATAGTACATAAATAAATAAGCATTGAGTTAACTATCATGTCATTGTACTGATTTTTGCTAATAGGAGTTTGTAATCTCTTTGAAAACGTTGAAGTTGTTCCATTGTATTCTCACATTATTATTTGAGAAAGAACTCTCTATAAGCTCTGTTTTGTGTGAGGTTCTCTATTTTCTGTTAGTGCCTTCTGATGACCGAATATTCTCAAGAAAGGGAAGACAACTTTTATTCGTATTTGGGTTGCAGAGAAGCATTGGAGCTTGTTCAGTCAAGTTGGTGGGAAGACAAGGCTTACTCTTTTCCTGATTGTCAGTTCAGCTTACAAGTTGACACTTCTAATACTGTTACTCTTGCCATTTTTGGGCATATCATATAGATCTCAAATTTTGATTCTTTAATTCAGCATGAATCCACCTTTATGTGTTCCTATTTCCATTCTGCTAGAAAATTATTGAGTAAAATCAAGGACCAAGAAACCTATGCTGGGGGAAGCGGTGGCATCACAGGGGAAACAGGTTTGTTGTGATCCTCTCGTTTTGTAGAAAAGGTTCGAAATTTTGAGCCGGGTAAAAAAAGATGTGCAGTATTTAAAAGCAAAATCTCATGTATGCTTCTGTCTCACCTTTTTGTTTGCATTTTATACAAAATACAAAAGAGCAAAGAAGGTTTCCTATGATCACAGATTTTCCAGGTTAACTAACATCAACATCCATCACAACACATGACCATATCTGTGTACCTTAGCAATGAGTTGCTGAAAGATTGTCTTATCATTTTTATCTCAGGTTGAGCGTAGCTAAGAAACAAACACATCGGGAGCACATTTGTTTCCTGAAAAGAAAATATCATATGTACAATGATGATATTCGATGTGAATTCATTTCACATTTTGAAATATTAAAAGGAAGAAACACTTGCAATGGTATAGTTTTTTTTGTATCTGGCTCCACAGTAGTCCCTTTGGGCCTATGGGCCGAAGTGGCGCCTTAGAGCAACTCCAATGGTGTTACCACCATTGGAGTCCTTAGCCAATATTAAACTATTTTTTTCTTATTTTTGAATAGTTAAGGATTATATTCTAAATTACATGTCCAATGGTGTTTTACAAAAGATCCTACAAACTCTCTGCCTCCTATTCATTTAACAAATGCAAACTGCTCTTTCAACAAACTGGTTTTCTGTTGGACATTCTAACGAGCACCTTGTGTGCGTTCAGGATAACCAGAATCTTGCAACTATAAACCCAATTTTTTATCCAGACCAAAGACAGCCATGTTGCAAACTAAACTCACGCTTCCAATCTCATAAACTAAATCAGCCAGCATCAACTATCACATTCTTCTCAACCTATCAAACCTCCATACGTTTTTTTTTTATGTCACAGATGGAAGGACAGAGATTACCGTAGAGAAAGAAGTGTAGTTTCATTACATGTTTCTTGTGATGCTCAGCGTGGGACATTTCACTTTGAGTGCCGATGAACCGCGTTTGTAACGCCAAGCTTCTTCTCCTCTACTCTTAAGCTTAGAAATCCATCATCAATGGCTACCAATGATATGATATCAACTGCAGAGGAAATACCAGCCACATTTTTGAGAGTTTCAACTACAATTCAGAATAGCAACAAAACCGAATCTAGTCACAAGTATAACAGATATGTTGTTGTTACAATTCAGAATGGCTGACTCCAGCGGTGGCGTCAAAAAGGATGTGACTATAAGGATGTATGAACAACTCCAGCGGTGGCGTCAGCGGTCTCAACTTGAACGACTGAACAAAACACAACAGATACGGATCAATGCAATGTATCAGTACTAACTGGTTCCAAAGAACATCCATATCATCACTACATGACCCTTTACTACATTACTTAATCAAAAACGGTAAAGTTTCAAACTTTGGATGAAAACAAAAAAAAACTGAAAGCAAATCAATATCCACCTGAGCGGAAGTAAGATCAAAGCTGAATCAACATCCAGATTCAAAATCCTAATCGAAAATCGTTAGCTGAATCAGATGAAATCAAAGTCGAGAGATGAGTCTTTACCTTCGTGAACTTCTTCACAGGTGCTTCGTTCATAGAAGACCTGAGAGAATCTCCATTCCATAGGCGGAGGTGGGTCTGAAGAAGCTGCTACGACCCCTTCACCATCACCGTTCATTGCCAGCTCACTAAGGATTAATCCTTAAATTCCTTAGTTAAGGATTCATCCTTAGCCGATATGCTTTTTTTTAATATTTTTTTAATCCTAAATGGCTAAGGATTAAACTTAAGGATTCACTAAAATCCTGCGTTGCAGGTGCTCTTAACTAGTAGAATGTCGTAGAAGTTATCCTCGTTGTCTTAAAAGCCATTAAACCACCCGCGGTAAATAAGAAAACCACCATCGCGTCCTCATCCAACGGCTAAAAACGTTTAGCTTGGAGAAAGAGACCAAAAAATCTCCATCTCCAGCTTTATCTCGAACCTTCTCATCAACTCTATAAAACCCATTTTCATATTCCTCAGTGTCTCTCTATCCGTATTTTCTTCATACAAACCATGGCTTCCTTCACCAGCAAATACGCCGGTAAGCAAACCTCGTCACCTCTCTCTTTCTCCGTAATCTGTTTATCAATTATATGTGCACGATTCTTTCGTGTTAAATGGTTTCCATCTTTCAACTTCTTTAAAACAGTTTCACTGCTTTGATAGACTATCTGAAGCGCTAGTTTAGATCTTTCGTCTGCAAGGCTTACATCACTCAGTAGTCAGTTGATAAACTAATAACTCTCTCTGTTCTGTTAGGTTCCTTATCTTGTTTTGTTTTATTGTATGCTTTGATACTTGCGAGATAATATTGGATAGACTTATCTGTTTAATGCATGCACCTCAAGTCGATAGATCAGTTTCTGGATTGAGTTTTAAAACACAAACATAAACTCTGTTTGGTTTGGTCTGAAACTGTCAAGTGTCAACTGATTGAGCTTATTTTTTTTATCTTATAATGATTTATATTAATATTATTTTCCACTTGCAGATGAGCTAATCGCTAACGCTGCCTACATCGGCACACCCGGAAAAGGCATCCTCGCAGCAGACGAATCAACCGGCACAATCGGGAAACGTCTCTCAAGCATCAACGTAGAGAACATCGAATCCAACAGACGCGCCCTCCGTGAGCTTCTCTTCACTACACCCGGCGCACTCCCTTGCCTCAGTGGTGTCATCCTCTTCGAAGAAACTCTCTACCAAAAAAGCTCCAACGGTATATACTTAATCCCTCTCTTCTCTCATTACCTTTGTATATATAATACTCAGTTTCTTATTCCACACAGGGACACCTTTTGTGGATATTCTAAAGGAAGGTGGAGTCTTACCTGGTATCAAAGTCGACAAAGGAACCGTTGAGCTACCTGGAACCAACGGTGAGACCACCACACAGGGTCTAGACGGTCTCGGTGAGCGTTGCAAGAAGTACTACGAAGCTGGTGCTCGTTTCGCAAAGTGGCGTGCGGTTCTCAAGATTGGTAAGAACGAGCCGTCTGAGTTAGCTATCCATGAGAACGCTTATGGATTAGCTAGATACGCTGCTATTTGTCAAGAGAACGGTCTTGTCCCCATCGTGGAGCCTGAGATTCTCGTTGACGGGTCTCACGATATTCAAAAGTGTGCGGAAGTGACAGAGCGTGTTCTCGCGGCTTGTTACAAGGCCTTGAGTGATCATGGTGTTATGCTTGAAGGAACGCTTTTGAAACCGAACATGGTGACTCCAGGTTCGGAGAGTGGTAAGGTTGGACCAGAGGTTGTGGCGGAGTTTACTGTTAGGGCGTTGCAGAGGACGGTGCCTGCTGCGGTTCCGGCTGTGGTGTTCTTGTCGGGAGGACAGAGTGAGGAAGAGGCGACGAGGAACTTGAATGCGATGAATCAGATGAAGACGAAGAAGCCTTGGTCTTTGTCGTTTTCGTTTGGCAGGGCGTTGCAGCAGAGTACGTTGAAGACTTGGGGAGGGAAAGAGGGGAATGTGAAGAAGGCGCAGGAGGCGTTTTTGGTTAGGTGTAAGGCTAACTCTGAGGCTACGCTTGGTGCTTATAAAGGTGATGCGAAGCTTGGTGATGGTGCAGCGGAGAGTCTTCATGTTAAGGACTACAAGTACTGATGGATCTGTTGTGGTATTTCAATATCATCGTTTGTGTTTTGTGTACTCTCTTATAGTTATATTTTCAGTTTTATGTGTGTTGTGTTTGGTTTAAAAGAGTGTGATGAAATGTAAGATCCTTTGATAAACCTTTTCTTAAAGGTGTTTTGTTTCTTGGGAAAACTTTTTATGAAATGAATGTATTGTTTATATTTGAAAGCATTTCTTCAGTTTCTTTTCTACTAAGTTATGCGTTTCGTCTTATGGCAAAATGTCATATACAATGAAGGCGACAAGGCGCATAAGCTTTAGAGACCTTTTATAAAACTCACCAATCTTGAGAAACTAAATTCACAAATCTTTTGATAGATTCAACGAACTTGATTGTGAAACTAAATTCACAAATCTTGAGATACTTTGAAAGATTCAACGAACTTGATGGATTTTACGACTTGTAGAGCCCAAAATACAATTACAAGTTAGTTGACATGTCAAGTTTGCCACCACCTACTATGCTTTACATTCTCAACAAATACTTTGAAAAACAGGTAACTGAGTTCAATAGTGTATCTCTGAAATAAATTTACGTTTAAGCCTAAACACCCAAATGACATTGCTTTGGTCTAATCAATTAACAAATTTTTAAAAACTAGTTATACAAACTGTGAGCAAATTGATATTCACATACCCCATACCCCATACCCCATAAGCCCATACCATATAGTTAACAAAAAGACTAAGTTTATATATGTTTGATGAAATCAAGCATATAGTAAATTATAAAATTTAAAATGTAAATAGTTAAATATAATCAACGAATAAAAATATTAATCTCTACTATTATTTGAGTGGTGATTTTTCGCAACGTTAAAAATTAACGTGTTTAATATCATTTATATCCTTAATGAAAATATAAATTATACACAAAATAGAAAATGAATTTTAATTTTCTTAATTAGATAAATGATTAAAATTAGTAATGATAATAAGAATTATCCAAAATCAAAAATATATTTTAAATAAAAAATAATTTAAATTGTGTTGTTATATTAAAATATCTTTTAATATAAAAATTAAAAAGAATTAAAAAATTATTTGATTAGATAAGTTGTTAAAATTATTCATGATAAAAATAATCCAATACAAAAAAATATTTTTAATAATAAAGATAATTACTATATACATTATGTTGTTATCTAAATAATATTTTTTAAATTAAATTTAAATAATCAAAAAGTAAACACATAAAAATTAGTAACAAATATAATGTACGGAACAAAATTCCAAAATATTTATAATACATAATAATTTCAAAACAAAAACATAAACAATAAGTTATCATTATAGTTTTTAATTAATATTGTATGTATTAATAAATAGTTATAAAATATTTACTTAGTGTAGAATATTTCCATTAGAAAATTATTTTTTATAATATTTACAATTTTATAAGCCGACTACCATGTGAACCGTTCCACCAATTGTGCTATTTTTCTGTTTTCACATATATTTTTCCCCTTTTTTCACAGGACAAGATTTAGAAAAAGTCTTCCATCTCATCACCACCGTCGGATCAAATCGAACGGTCATCGCACATTAGCGAACCTGAAACCCTAATTTCCCTTCACAAACCACAAAACTCCTATATAATAAACTCAAACCCTAACAATCTCTCTCCCTCTCTCTCTCCACACAGCAAACTCTACTTTTTCCCTTCACCGCCGCCACAAAGCTTTATTCTTTAGATCTGAGAGATAAATGGCGGGTAAAGGAGAAGGTCCAGCTATCGGTATCGATCTCGGTACCACCTACTCTTGCGTCGGAGTGTGGCAGCACGACCGCGTCGAGATCATCGCTAATGATCAGGGAAACAGGACGACGCCGTCTTACGTCGCTTTCACCGACTCCGAGAGGTTGATTGGTGATGCCGCCAAGAACCAAGTCGCCATGAATCCCATCAACACCGTCTTCGGTATGTAGTTAATCTTTAATCTCTGTTTCTTGATTGGTATTTGAATCGTGTTGGGTTTTATAGATCGATCTGAGTTGAATCCGAAAGTTTTAGTCTTTAGGATTTATAAGAAGATCTTAGAAAGTTGTGGTTTTTAGTTGAATCCGAAAGTTATCGTCTTTAGTTTTTACAGGAAGAATCTCTGTTACTCGATTTTTATTGTAAGATCTTAGCTTTATACGAAAGTTCTCGTCTTTTCGATTTTATAGTAAGATCTTAGCTGATACGAAAGTTCTTGTCTTTAGGGTTTATAGGAAGAATCTTAGTAGAATACGAAAGTTATCGTCTTTAGGGTTTAATAGGACGATCTTAGCTGATTATGCAAGTTGTGATTATTTGGGTTTATAGGAATATATTAGCTGAATACGAAAGTTTGCGTCTTTAGGGTTTATATGAAGATCTTAGCTGAATACCAAGTTGTGATTATTAGGGTTTATAGGATGATCTTAGCTCTTGATTATTAGATTTTATGTACTTGGCTGTGGTTTTGATTTACCTTCGAATGATTACTTAAACTCTGTTCTGCGTATTTGATTTATTACATTTACCTTCGAATGATTAATTAAAATTTGTTCTGTGTATTTGATTTATTACAGATGCAAAGAGATTGATTGGTAGGAGATTCAGTGACTCATCAGTCCAAAGCGACATGAAGCTATGGCCATTCAAGATCACTCCTGGTCCAGCCGAGAAGCCCATGATTGTTGTCTCCTACAAAGGAGAGGAGAAGCAGTTTGCTGCTGAGGAGATCTCTTCCATGGTTCTCATCAAGATGCGTGAGATCGCTGAAGCTTACCTTGGTGTCACTATCAAGAACGCTGTGGTTACTGTTCCTGCTTACTTCAACGACTCTCAGCGTCAAGCTACTAAGGATGCTGGAGTGATTGCTGGTTTGAATGTGCTGCGTATCATCAACGAGCCTACTGCTGCAGCTATTGCTTATGGTCTTGACAAGAAGGCGACCAGCGTTGGAGAGAAGAATGTCTTGATCTTTGATCTTGGTGGTGGGACTTTTGATGTTTCTCTTTTGACGATTGAGGAGGGTATCTTTGAGGTCAAGGCTACTGCTGGAGACACTCATCTTGGTGGTGAGGACTTTGACAACAGGATGGTTAACCATTTTGTTCAGGAGTTTAAGAGGAAGAGCAAGAAAGATATTACCGGTAACCCTAGAGCTTTGAGGAGGTTGAGGACGGCTTGTGAGAGAGCAAAGAGGACTCTATCTTCCACTGCCCAGACCACCATCGAGATTGACTCTCTCTATGAGGGAGTTGATTTCTACTCTGCGCTCACACGTGCTAGGTTCGAGGAGCTCAACATGGATCTTTTCAGGAAGTGTATGGAGCCTGTTGAGAAGTGTCTACGTGATGCTAAGATGGACAAGAGCACTGTCCATGATGTTGTCCTTGTCGGTGGTTCTACACGTATCCCTAAAGTTCAGCAGCTTCTCCAAGATTTCTTCAATGGTAAAGAGCTCTGCAAGTCTATTAACCCAGACGAGGCTGTGGCTTATGGTGCAGCTGTTCAGGGTGCTATTCTTAGCGGTGAAGGCAATGAGAAGGTGCAAGACCTTCTTCTTTTGGATGTTACTCCTCTTTCTCTCGGTCTTGAGACTGCCGGTGGAGTCATGACCACCTTGATCCAGAGGAACACAACTATTCCCACCAAGAAGGAGCAGGTCTTCTCCACTTACTCTGACAACCAGCCTGGTGTGTTGATCCAAGTCTACGAAGGTGAGAGAGCTAGGACCAAGGACAACAACCTCCTCGGAAAGTTTGAGCTCTCTGGCATCCCTCCTGCTCCACGTGGTGTCCCTCAGATTACAGTCTGTTTTGACATTGATGCCAATGGTATCCTCAATGTCTCTGCCGAGGACAAGACCACCGGCCAGAAGAACAAGATCACCATCACAAACGACAAGGGTCGCTTGTCCAAGGACGAGATTGAGAAGATGGTTCAAGAGGCTGAGAAGTACAAGTCTGAGGATGAGGAGCACAAGAAGAAGGTTGAGGCCAAGAATGCTCTCGAAAACTATGCTTACAACATGAGGAACACCATCCGTGATGACAAGATAGGTGAGAAGCTTCCTGCTGCAGACAAGAAGAAGATTGAAGACTCGGTTGAGGAAGCTATCCAATGGCTTGATGGTAACCAGACTGCTGAAGCTGATGAGTTTGAAGACAAGATGAAAGAGTTGGAGAGTGTTTGCAACCCAATCATTGCCAAGATGTACCAAGGAGCTGGTGGTGAGGCTGGTGGCCCCGGTGGAATGGATGATGATGAAGCTCCTCCTTCTACAGGAGGCCCTGGCCCCAAGATCGAGGAAGTCGACTAATTTAGTTCTGTTTGAATGATTTTGGATTGAGACCAGAATTTAAGTTTCTGTTTTATGTTTTGCTCTGTTATGAGCGATACTCTCTATTTCCTGTTGAACCTTTTGCTTTATTTCAATTAAGATGCAGTTTTGAACTTCAGATTAATTGGTATCTTTTTTATTGTGTTGTTTCAGTTGCAGGTTTGAGTTTCAGTTGTTATTTTATTACTAAGTAAGATGCAGGTTTGAACTTCATGTAGTTTAATGGAAATAGCGCAAGGGAATGACGAATCGATGTATGACACATCTTTATGTCTTCAGAATATCCAATGGGTTCTAATTTCATTGCTTCTTCAGAATACCAATGGGTTCTAATTGCATTGCTCTGAGAAAATTAACTAGTAACTCTTCAGCTGATTATTGCTTGATATGTTTGTGTGTGTGTCCTTTCTTTCCAAGTACCACACTGAAAATTCAAAACAAATAGTTGGGATTATTGTGGGGATGGTTTGTTTGAATGTTAAGCTTACCTGTCGATGGATCGAAAACAAACACAGCTTTTTGGAGGCTACAGTATTAAACACAACTCTTTTCATAGCAAGTAAAGCAGTTTCCACTTTGGTTGTACATAATTTTTACAAATGCTATTGACTTTTACGAAAACTAGATTTTTACGGGTACTAAGACATTTCCAAATGTAATAAAATGTATATTATTAACATATCCTTCACCACCCTCACAAAAATAAGATTCAACGGAAAGTTACATTTTAATAGTTTTACTATCAGGCAGTGACATATCCAAAACGTTTTTAACTGGATGCAAAAAATATTAAATATTAACTCTTTCTAAGAATATTAAAGATTAATTAGATATTCAATTAAATATTTTAAATAACTAAATATATTGATTTTGTACATCAGAGAAAATTTATCTACGTTTCTATCCAAGATATCTTCTATAATATTTTTGTGTCTTTGGTGAAAACATTAATACAGATGGACTTGACCAAAATTCTGCTTATAATCAAATCTACAATATAAAATAAACTCCAATTTTGCTTTTGAGGAACCAAAATAAAAAAACAATGGGTGCAAAATCATTTTCTAACTTGGGTGCATTAGATTGAGCTTTATCGAAATTACATTGATTATTAAACTATGAGTGGGTGCAAGTGCATCCTCCCTACATAACTTAGATCCGTCCCTGCTATCAGGTGAAGAAAAAAACAATACTACCGGCCAAGTTTTGATTCTGGCTCTATTGGTGGCTAAAGTCACTAAGATGTTTTCAACTTTTCCCCATGAGAGATATATAGAATACCACCATGTTTTCTAAAATATCGATTCATTTTATATATTCCCAAGAAAATTTTTTGAGATATATTTTTCCATGAAACTTTGAAACAATATAATTTTAGTTCGAAACTTGCTTCCCCATAAAATTGGATTGATCGGTTAACTTGATAAAACAACCCGTAGACCAATAAATGATCCGATTAAGATCCGAAAACTTGAATCAAACTAGTAATTAAAAACATTTATTGGAGTTAAAGTAAATGTGTGTTAGGCCTGTTCAATCTAGTGTTCGGTTCGATTTTTTTCGGTTTTCGGTTATTCGGTTTATAAAAATTAACTACCATATTGAAACCATATTTAATTTGGTTTGGTTCGGTATTTATATTACCAGTTTTCGGTTTATTCGGTTTTATACCAAATATCATTATTATTTGATTTGGTTTCATATTATCTGATTTTTTTTTAAAAAACATATTGTCAAAACTATCATTTATTAAAATAATCCTAGGTGTTCATAAATATAAAAATGTGAAATTAACAACAAACAAAACGATTCAATTTTGTATAGCTTTTCTTATTTTCTCTTTGTTCTTCCAAATAAATTACATGGTACAATCTAATTTCACAATTTCTTACAACATGTAAAATCAAATCAAATTTAGATAATAGTTGAAGAAAATAAAATAAAATTATTAAGATATATCTTCACAAGGTATAAAAAATAAAAAGACTATTCCAAGAAAATAAATTGAACTTTTTTATCTAAATTGAACTTTGTTTATATTAATTGAACTTTGTTTTGTGTTTTTTGTTTATTACAGATGCAAAGAGATTGATTGGTAGGAGATTCAGTGACTCATCAGTCCAAAGCGACATGAAGCTATGGCCATTCAAGATCACTCCTGGTCCAGCCGAGAAGCCCATGATTGTTGTCTCCTACAAAGGAGAGGAGAAGCAGTTTGCTGCTGAGGAGATCTCTTCCATGGTTCTCATCAAGATGCGTGAGATCGCTGAAGCTTACCTTGGTGTCACTATCAAGAACGCTGTGGTTACTGTTCCTGCTTACTTCAACGACTCTCAGCGTCAAGCTACTAAGGATGCTGGAGTGATTGCTGGTTTGAATGTGCTGCGTATCATCAACGAGCCTACTGCTGCAGCTATTGCTTATGGTCTTGACAAGAAGGCGACCAGCGTTGGAGAGAAGATGCAGGTTTTAACTTCATGTAGTTTAATGGAAATAGCGCAAGGGAATGACGAATCGATGTATGACACATCTTTATGTCTTCAGAATATCCAATGGGTTCTAATTTCATTGCTCTGAAAAACTTAACTAGTAACTCTTCAGCTGATTATTGCTTGATCTGTTGTGTGTGTGTGTGTCGTCAGTTCCTTTCTTTCCAAGTATCACACTGAAAATTCAAAACAAATAGTTGGGATTATTGTGGGGATGGTTTGTTTGAATGTTAAGCTAGAAATCTAGCTTACCTGTCGATGGATCCAAAACAAACACAGCTTTTTGGAAGATGCAAACACAACTCTTTTCATAGCAAGTAAAACAGTTTCCACTTTGGAAGTACATAATTTTTACAAATGCTATTGACTTTTACGAAAACTAGATTTTTACGGGCACTAAGACATTTCCAAATGTAATAAAATGTATATTATTAACATATCCTTCACCACCCTCACAAAAATAAGATTCAGTGGAAAGTTACATTTTAATAGTTTTACTATCAGGCAGTGACATATCCAAAAAGTTTTTGACCTGGATGCAAAAAAATACTAAATATTAATTTTTTTCTAAAAATATTAAAGATTAATTAGATATTCAATAAAATATTTTAGATAATTAAATATATTCATTTTGTACATCAGAGAAAATTTATCTACGTTTCTATCCAAGATATATACTTATAATATTTTTGTGTTTTTGGTGAAGACATTAATACAGATGGACTTGACCAAAATTCTGCTTATAATCAAATCTACAATATAAAATAAACTCCAAATTTTGATTTTGAGGAACCAAAATAAAAAAAACAATGGGTGCAAAATCATTTTCTAACTTGGGTGCATTAGATTATGAGTGGGTGCAAGTGCACCTCCCTACATAACTTAGATCCGTCCCTGCTATCAGGTGAAGAAAAAAAAAAATACTACCGGCCAAGTTTTGATTCTAGCTCTATTGATGGCTAAAGTCACTAAGATGTTTTCAACTTTTCCCCATGAGAGATATAGAATACCACCATTTTTATATATTCTCGAGAAAAATGTTTGAGATATATTTCCCCATATAACCCCCTATAAATTTAGTTCGAAACTTGCTTTCCCATAAAATTGGATTAATCGGTTAACTTTATTTAAGTAACACCAAAAGATTAATGAAACCACCTGTAGACCAATAAATGACCCGATTAAGATCTGAAAACTTGAATCAAAGTAGTAATTAAAATCCCAACCGACCCTATTAACCCAGACCTGACAGACTTCCTACCCGACGAACAAAAACACTTATTGGAGTTAAAGTAAGTGTGTGTAGTGTTTTTTTTTTTTTTTTTTGATTATATGTCCATATTATTCAAACATAAATTCAATCTTTATAGGAAAATTTCTTAGCAATCAATAACAATAGCAATAATTCATGATTCAAAAACTGAAAACCTTCATTTTAAGCAGTGTAGTGTTATTTACGTGTTTATATTTATGAGATCACCTTATCACGAAAAACATTTTTAGACATAACACAAGAATAAGAGCCTTAGTTATGTTAATATGCAAATCTGCGTTAGTCTTGTGTGATGAAAAAGACGAAAAAAGAAAAATAGTTTAAGGCTCGAAGAAATAGTTTACCACAATAGCATCACACTATACTATACGACCGAATATTCTCGCACACCAGGACTCTTGATCTAAGAGTCAGACAATAATCACCATATTTTAACCCTAGTTAATTATTCTAGTACAAACAAATCTATTATATCATCTGTTTTAGGAGGATTTTTGTTTGACTACACGACTTGAACCATCTTGTGAATATATACATCTGGCGTTTCTACTTACATTAGTTGAAGATTATATAAACATTTTCTTTAAAATTTACATAATTCATTTTCTTCAAAACTCAAAACATATATTTCTTCGTAAACATTAACAAACCATGTTCTGTTGTATCAACTATAATAGTGTGTAAAAGAGATTTAATTCTTGTTTGTTGATTAATTTAAGTATGCTTTAATAGGAGTATCCATCCAAATGTTTCTAAAAAATAACAGACTCGATTCGTTTCCGTGACGTCTTTGATGACTCATGAATGATGCCATTTTCTCAAATATTATTAACATTGAGAAAAATGCAATTCCAATATGTGATTTAAAACTTCGTGACGTTCAGGTGTTCTTTCTTTTAATAAGGAACTTTCGAAATAATAACGTGCGGAAAAAGAGATTAAAATTATTGTTGTTGATTAATTAACTAACAAGCTTTAATGGGAGTGTCCACCCTTTCTCGAACCTTCCCCCATCCCTTGCATGATTGCATTCTATAAAATACTACACTATCACTCACTTTCCTCTTCATCCAAATTTTCTTCAAACAAACCATGGCTTCCTTCACCACCAAATACGCCGGTAAGCAATCCCCTCACCTCTCTCTTTCTTTCTCTTTGTAATGCATTTATCAATGTGCATGATTCCTTAAAGTTTATATCCTTCGTTTTCCTTTAAA